GAGGCGAGATCCCGCCACTGCCAACCTGGGTGACGAAGACAGGCTCCGTCTCAAAAAAAAAAAAAAAAAAAGAAGTATACAATAATTCTTCAATATAATATCCTGGCTGGGCGTGGAAGCTCACACCTGTAATCCCAGCACTTTGGGAGGCCAAGGCAGGTGGATTACCTGAGGTCAGGAGTTCAAGACCAGCCTGGTCAACATGGTGAAATCCTGTACCTACTAAAAAAATGTAAAAATTTGGCAGGTGTCGTGGCGGGTGCCTGTACTCCCAGCTACTTGGGAGATGAGGCAGCAAAATTGTTTGAATTCGAGAGGCAGAGGTTGCAGTGAGCCAAGATCGGGCCACTGCACTCCAGCCTGGATGAAGGAGCAAGATTCCACGGGTGGGGGAAAGGCCAGGCGTCGGGGCTCATACCTGTAATCCCAGCACTTTGGGAGGCTGAGGTGAGTGGATCACCTGAGCTAAGGAGTCTGAGACCAGCCTGGCCGACGTGGTGAAACTGCATCTCTACTAAAAGTACAAAAATTAGCCAGGCATGATGGCGTGCGCCTGTAATTCCACCTAGTCAGGAGGCTGAGGCAGGGAAATCACTTGAACCTAGGAGGTAGAGGTTGTAGTGAGCTGAGATAGCACCACTGCATTCTAGCCTGGGCGACAGAGCAAGACTCTGTCTCCAAAAAATAAAATACGTATACACACATGCGCGTGCGCACACACACACACACACACACACACACACACACACACAATAATAATATAATCCTAATGATTATGTTTCCTGACGAAAATGAGTTCAAAGAAAATGATACTGGCTACTCTTAACATTACAGTAAAATTATCTGCCTTCTCTTTGTTCCACCTGTGGGATTGGACAAATAAGTGGAAATCAGATCAGAAGTTATGATGATTAGTTTTTCCTAACAATGGTTTTACAGAAAGTTTTGTTGTTGTTGTTGTTGTTGTTGTTTAGGTTAGATTATTCAATTCCAAAATGGTTACCTTGTTGTATTAACTGATGTTTAATATGTAAATAATGGTACTTACCTCACATGTTTTGGGTGTCCTCTCACAAAAGACTTCAATTTTAATATCACCGACATCTGTATGCAATGTCACAGACTAAAAAGGAGAGAAAATGTGAGAACAAATGAAATTTCTTCAGGTGACTTTATGTACTGTATTATTTCCCTAAATGGATATTCAAGATGATAATCTGAATAAAAACAGACAGAAATACTGCTTCAGAGATGACCCATCCACAAAGGATGTTGGTGAATTGCATATATATAAATAATACATAACAATTAGAGATAAGTTGTACTTTTTCCTCAAAATGTATCTCAGCAGTCGAGAAAAAACTCCAGAATATAAATGTTAGGGTTAAGTAGTATCCATGATAAAAATTTTGAAGTAAACATTTTGATGGAAATAATTATTTTAACTTTGAATTTTTTCATCAAGAAAAATAAAAACAATTGTTATGTACTATTGATTTATACGGCAATTCACCAACATCCTTATTTATAGAAAAATGATGAGAAAATGATTTTTCAAAACATAATTGCCACCATTTTCCTTAGGTAATTTAATTCTGAGAAATAGGGTTAAAAAATAATTCCTTTCTCAACTAACAAAAACATAATAAGTGTCAGTGTTTCCAAATCCTAAATGTGCAGATAACCATAGTGCTCTTTCTTGCTTGCTTCTTTTCTTGTACCTGTTTTTCTGTAAACTGTATACCCCTTGATACGATACTCTATTCTGGAGAGGGAGAAAACAATCTGGAGGATTCCTTTTTCACTTCCTTTTTTTTTTTTTTTTTTGAGATGGAGTCTTGCTCTGTTGCCCAGTTGGAATGCA